GGGTGGGGGCCATAAAAACAATGAGGGTGGACCTATTGCCCTCCCACCGGACCCCACCACTGAGCGGCGAGTGGGGGCCTTAAATAACGAGGGGTGGGGGGTCCTAAATGAGAATGGGGACCTATTTTCCTCCCCCCCACCCCTAATCGGCGGGTGGGGGACCTATTGTCATCCCCTCTGCCCCCAACACTGAGCGGCGGGTGGGGGCCCTAAATAACAATGAGGGTGGCACCTATTGTCCTCCACCCCGGCCCCCACCCCTGAGCGGTGGGTGGGGGCCCTAAAGTAAAATAAGGGGGGGACCTATTGTCCTCCCCCTGGCCCCCACCCCTGAGCGGCGTGTGGGAGCCCTAAACAAAAATGTTACCCCCCCAGCTGACTAGTGGTTCCCAAACCCCTAGTCACCCCCTCCCCAAAAAATTAATAAACCCTTACTAATTGCCTGTAAAAAAAGAAATAAAACTTACCATTTGATGTCTTCTTTTTTCTAAAATCTTCTTTTTTCAGCCCCCAAAAAAGGCCAAATAAAAAAACATAATACCCGTTGTACTTTGAAAAAAAAACAAAAAAAAGAGAGCGCAAAAAAATCAGACGAAGAAAATAAACCCGACGCTGAAAAAGTAATCCATTTTCACCCATGGAGGGCACAGCGCAGACTGAGCTCCACAGGGCGCCCTGCAATTAGGCTCAGAGCACTCTGAGCCTAATTGTTCCTTGGAATTTTCCCACGTTGTGTAATTTGACTCATAAATCAACTCATTTCAATCAACCAATCAGAGTGTTGTTATGAGTCAAATTACACAGCGTGGGAGAATTACAAAGAACGTTCTCACGCTGTGTAAAATGACACAGAGCACTCTGATTGGTTGGATTTCAAACCAACCAATCACAGTGCTCTGACAGGTAAATGTAGAGACTTACCTGTCAGTCTCTTCATTTACCAGTCAGAGCACGGTGATTGGATGGCTTAAACCAACCAATCAGAGTGCTCTGAGCCTAATTGCAGGGCAGCGCAAGGCTTTATAAGCCTTCCCCCGCCCTGCGGAGCTCAGTCTGTGCAGTGTCCTCCATGGGTGAAGGTGGATTACTTTTTCAGCGTCTGTGTTTTTTTTTGCGCTCAGGTTTTTTTTTTTTTTTTAAAGTGCAACAGGTATTATGGTTTTTTATTTGGCCTTTTTTGGGGCTGAAAAAATAAGATTTTAGAAAAAAGAAGACATCAGATGGTAAGTTTTATTTCTTTTTTTACAGGTACTTAGTTATTGTTCCCCCATCACTATTTTTAGGGTGAGGGGGTAGGAAGGAGGTTTATTAATTTTTTGGAGGAGGAGGAAACTAGGGGTTTTAAAAATTAACCCTCTACCCTCCCTACCTCTCCCTCCCCATGTACTTACCGATCACCGCCGTTCCCCTGCCGGTGATTGGTCTTCTTCTTAGGGGTGACTCTCTGGACTGAGCCCAGAGAGACCCCCTCCCTCGCCAATTTAGGACCCCTAAATTGCCCTAAAAGAGCAGTCACATGGCCCCAATAGGTGTCCACATTGCTGGCTGCAGGGGGACTGCCTGAACTGACTGAGTGCCGGTAATCGTTTATTTTTTTATATTGCAGTGTGGCTGGGCACCCGGTACCCAGGAGGTAGGAGTGCAAAAGCTAAAATTTATATATAAACGCTAACTTTGGCCAGCATTTATGATTAAGACTGGAAATACCCTATTTGGAATGCCCTGGGTTATCATTTGAAAATTGTATGCAATGATGGGGTTATTTCACATTACTGGGCTACCATATGGTCTCAAAAGGCAACACAGACCCAGCAAACCAATCTGGCAAACTGAATTGGGCAAGCCCTATACTGACCCTTTCCAAAACAGCATAAAATCTGTACATGGGGAGTATTGTTATACTCGGGAGACTTCGCTGAACACAAATATGAGTGTTTACAACAGTAAAACTTGTCATGACGATGAAATCCCCAGTAAAAAGGCAGTTTTTGTGTAAATAAAAATGCAAAAAATAAAAATGCTAACTTTGACCAGCGTTTGTGACTAAGTGGCTACTACGAAAGACTGGAAATACCCCATTTGGAATACCCTGGGTTGCCTACATTTGAAAATGGTATGCAATGATGGGGTTATTTCACATTTCTGAGCTACCATATGGTCTCAAAAGGCATCACAGACCCAGCATACATAAAAGGAGCTGAGAATCCATGCCTAAAGTACATATGTGAAAAATAACATACAAAAAATGACTACCCAAAAGGTTGACAAAGACTTGTGGTCAAATTAGTGCATGAAAAGTGTTAAAATACCACCATATGAAATACCCTAGGGTGTCTACTTTTCAAAAAATATATGGTTTGATGGGGGTACATTACATTGGCTGGCTTAAAAAATTTCCCAAATAGGACATGGGTGCATGATGACCAGCTGTGAAAATAGCACGTTGGAAAACTGGAATGCACACACTCCAAAAAAGGTCTTTTAGCCCCCAAAGAACCCAACACACCTATACATATGGGGTATCACTGTACTCAGGAGATGTTGCTGAACACATATTAAGGTGTTCTTTGGAAGTAATACATAACAGGAGCTGAGAATCCATTCCTAAAGTACAATGAGTGTGAAAAATAACACAAAAAAATCACTACCCAAACGTTTGACAAAGACTGGTGGTAGATTTAGTGCATGGAAAGTTTTAAAATACCACCATTTGAAATACCCTAGGGCAAGCATAGGCAACCTTCGGCACTACAGATGTTTTGGACTACACCTCCCGTGATGCTTTGCCAGCCTTATGGGTGTAAGAGCATTATGGGGGATGTAGTCCACAACATCTGGAGTGCCGAAGGTTGCCTATTAGTGATGTCCCGAAGGGTTCCCCGCGAACGGTTCGCCGCGGACTCATCATTGAGTAAACTTTGACCCTGTACCTCACATTCAGCAGACACATTCCAGCCAATCAGCAGCAGACCCTCCCTCCCAGATCCTCCCACCTCCTGGACAGCTCACTAAGAATGCAGCTTCACAATGAATGTAAAATGGATGCTGTCCAGGAGGGAGGGTCTGGGAGGGAGGGTCTGCTGCTGATTGGCTGGAATGTGTCTGCTGACTGTGAGGTACAGGGTCAAAGTTTACTCAATGATGAGTCCGCGGCGAACCGTTCGTGGCGAACCGTTCAGGACATCATTATTGCTTATCCCTGCCCTAGGGTGTCTAGTTAAATATAAATATATGGTTTGATGGGGGTAAATTACAATGGCCTGCTTCAGAAATGTCCCAAATAGGACATGGGTGCATGATGACCAGTTGTGAAAATTCCAAGTTGGAGAACTGGAATGTGCACCCTCTAATTAAGGTCTTTTAGCCGCCAGAGAACCCGACACACCTATACATGGGGGGTATGTTGCTGAAAACATATTGGGGTGTTCTTTGGCAGTAACCCTTAAAGCTCTCCGTACATGTATTCTTAAATTGCTATGTGTGTCAAAAAAAATTACAAATTATTTTATTTTTTTAAATTCGGAATAGATTGGTGGTAAAATGGTTGCAAGAAAAGAGCATGAAAAAAGTCAAAATACCCCAAGTTTAATATCTTAGGTTGTCTTCTTTTAAAATATATATACATGTGAAGGGTTATTCAGGAATTCCTGACAGATATCAGTGTTACAATGTAACTTAAATTTTGAAAAAAATGGTTTGGAAATATCAAAGTGCTACTTGTACTTATAACTTTCCAAAACAAGCTAAGAACATGTTAATATTGGGTATTTCTAAACTCATGACAACATTTAGAAACTATTAACACGGGTTGTTTTTTTGGCGGTTGTACATGCGTAACAATTTTGGGGGTCAAAGTGTGTTTTGTTTTTTTCATCATATTTTATATATTTTTTTATAGTAAATTATGATTTGATGTAAATAATGGTATCTTTAGAAATACCATTTAATGGTGAGAAAAATGCTATATAATATGTGTGGGTACAGTAAATTAGTAAAAGGAAAATTACAGCTAAACACAAACATCGCACAAATGTAAAAAGAGCCCTGGTTCTTAACGGTAAGAAAATTGAAAAACGGTCTGGTCACTAAGGGTTTAAGCACCAAAACCTGAAAAAAATCCTTTACCTAATCCTAGGTTTAACTTAACTTCTCTTAGAAAGAAAACTTTTCATGTACCCCAACACTAAATTTCACCCAATTGTAAACTCAATATTCTGACACCCCATTGTACCCAACTTCTAAATTTAACTCTAGTCAAATCCTAAACCAGTCATTTTAAACAGCCCTAACACTACAACTTTAACCCCTTTCAAATTCTAAATCCTCATAACATTAAATGCCCAATGTAATCTAAATCTGACATTAACCACTCTCTAACTTTAAACCCCCCTTACCACTTCTATCATTATCTTCAGGACCGGACTGGGAATTCAAAGCAGCCCTGAAAAAAAATGTATGCCAGCCCCATAAGTCCTTGTGCCATGTAATGTGTGTGTGTGTGTGTATATATATATATATATATATATATATATATATGTGTATATATATATATATATATATGTGGATGTATGTATATATGTGTGTGTGTGTATATACATACATACATATATACACACACACGATAACAAACAATCACCTTTTTAGATATAATTAGGATGAAATTCCCACAGTTTCATTCATATCCACAAGAAATAATGAAATATAGTGTAGATTGTACAAGATTTAAAAATCTGCATATAAATAGGGTATATACACTCACAAACAAAGAGCTGTGGACCCAGCTCTATTGTGAATAGCTACTGGGTCCGTATAGGCGACCCAGCCCTACTTAGGATGTGTATCTTGTCCTGGAGGGGAATAGATAAACAGAGGATTGTGTAGCACAGTCTGTGGTGTTGTAGTGAAAATAAATATCCCAAGTGGGTACTTACAAACCGGGAGCCTCCAGTGATTCTTCTTGTGCTGTAATTATTTTCTAGACCTTCCCCTTTGACTTCCACAATGACTCTAAGGATGCTGAAGCTAGGAGTCCTGTGTCGATATGTACAACACAGTTATGAACAAAGGGGCTAACTGAATTAACCATCCAGAGTAGCCTATCCACCCGCTCATTTACTTAATATACTTCACTACAACCCCTTAGATCCTGTTCCTCATGTTTGAATCACCTGCCTAGACTCTCAAGCAGACTAGCTTGTCCCAGCACTTCTAACACTGCAGTAGTACACCGCAATGCAACTTACCTCACACACCCCCGAATCTACACTGCAGTAGCATTCCACTATTGTTCAGCCTGTTATATTGTTCTTGCTTATATATTTCAAAAATGCGCACGTACTCTTGCCACTGTTAAGCTTGTATAGACATATGTAAGTACGCTGTTGTGGCGTTGGAAACTGACATGTACCCACCTGCACAATGAAAATAAAGAATAAAAAAAAAACAAAAAAAAAACGGGAGCCTCAAATTACTCTATGTATAGGCGCTGTCCAGTTGAGGACTGCACTCCCATGTGTGGATTATAAAATCGGGAACCAGGATGAAGAATATCAAAAATTAAATTCATTAACAAAATAAATATAAATAAAATATGGCTCAATGTCCAAATATAAACGGGAAGCGTTTCGCCACTGCAATGTGGCTTCTTCAACCGGATCAAATGTCAAGTAGTTCCTGGTTCACCATGAGAGGTTTATATACATCCTAAATTGGAAAATGAAGTGTATATATATATATATATATATATATATATATATATATATATATATATATATATATATATATATATATATATATATATATATATATAGTACCATTGTATGGAAAAGGGTAAACTTAGTTCATGATCTGTCATATCAGAAATTATAGCAGATTTGCCAGACACATAGTCTGGACAAAATTTAAGAAACCCTTTGATCTTTGAAGGATACGTAAGTTATAGCCACTATCTAGATAGGCCAAAATGACGTCAAAATAGCCACCAGGAAAAGTTAACTCTTTCCTGGATAGGTATGTTTAGTGGGACAAGACTGCCCTCTACAGACCAAATAACTAATTTGCGATCTGGAAGATAACCACACCTCTAGTGCTTCTATTGGGTTATCAACTGATGACGTACAGAGAGTCTGGCCCTTTAAAAGTTAAGACAAAGGGAAGATAGAAAGACGAGAGAAGGAGGCAGATGCAAGATATGCAAAGGAGAGGAGAGAGGAATTGGAAGTTTGGGGATTCCAACTCGGACAACATCTGAGACTAACACTCTACTCCTAAAACTCTAACACTTAGAATTTACTGACTTTCTAACCAACACCTCCATGCAGAGAGACTACCAATCGGATGAAATATCTACTCAACTGGTAATTATACTGGTTTCATTTAATTAAATTAAATTAATTAAATTATATTAATAGCATTATATATGACTGGATAAAGCACGGTCAGATTTCCATATTAAGAAATCTTAGTTAACTAAGAATATATAGTTATAAACATTCCATTCTGCAGGTGGAATTAAGAATAATTATATATTGATGTGATATTATCACGTGTTAGCATACCGCTGTTTTTATCCAGGTGTATTGATTTGCTCTAAATTAAGATAGATATCTTTTAGACAAATTAAAATCTGCTTATATAATGTGGTAAATTCTCTTATTGGATGATTTTAAGAAAATGACTAATGAACTGGGTTAAATGTTATTTTATTTAAAATTACATAAGAATAGATCTTAACTACCTAGGAGATCTAGCCAGCATTGAAAGGGTTATTCTAACTGTCTGCTAAACTTTACGACCTTACGCTGCACTCTGAGGAATTCTGTTCTTCTGTGAAAAGTTTCACTTTCAGCCTGTGTGAAAGCTAGTCATAAATCGTAGAAGTCTTGACAGATAATGAGTTAATAGCCATTGAAACGTAATACCCATTTCTTTGTATTGCATACCATTTATACTGAATATTCATTAATTATTGTCACGCATGTTACATAATATTATTTGTTAATTATTGGTTATCATAAATAAAATCTATTTTTATACATTGTGAATATTATTTATATGGTATACATTTCACTTAACACGATAAACGTTCTTTGGGATCTGAGAATTGAATTAGTGGGCAATTCTCAACTGTTTACTATTATTATCCCATAAATATCCCCACAATAGGCGCTGTCCAGTTGAGGACTGCACTCCCATGTGTGGATTATAAAATCGGGAACCAGGATGAAGAATATCAAAAATTAAATTCATTAACAAAATAAATATAAATAAAATATGGCTCAATGTCCAAATATAAACGGGAAGCGTTTCGCCACTGCAATGTGGCTTCTTCAACCGGATCAAATGTCAAGTAGTTCCTGGTTCACCATGAGAGGTTTATATACATCCTAAATTGGAAAATGAAGTGTATATATATATATATATATATATATATATATATATATATATATATACACATACATATATATATATATATATATATATATATATATTACACACACACATACATATATTTGTGGGCGGAGCAATAAAGCCGTAATGGTTAGATAACATATACATCCCATTGTACAGCGCTACGGAATTTGTTGGCGCTATATAAATAATAAAATAATAATAATAATAATATACCAATAGCATAACATAACTTTAAACACCAGTCAGTTGTGGTGTGTCCTGGAACCGACAATGCAGCAGGCCTGTAATAAAAGAGGGCCCACCTTAGAGGGTGATGTGAAAAGAGGGAGTGATGGGAGGGTCAACTCGTCAGACCAATATCGGTATGTGAGAGGGGATTGGAGGCCCTTTTAAAGGGGACACCAAGCCCCTCCCACAACTACAGGCCCAGCCTTAAATTTGAGGTTGGAGCAATAATGCAGTAATGGTTAGATAACATATACCAATAGCATAACATAACTTTAAACACCTGTCAGTTGTGGTGTGCTGGAACCGACAATGCAGTAGGCCTGTAATAAACGAGAGCAAAAGATGGTTGAGATATCGTTATTTTATTCGTACTACAATACATCAATTATTTGGACAAGTCTAGAAAGGCCTGACGAACCTCGGTGACTGGTTCAGGGATATATACGGTGTAGGTGGATGATTTCCAGCGACCCATTGCCTTTATGATATGGGCTGAAGTGTTGTTGGCAAAGGCAGATGAGGCTGCCCCTATGCGGAACGAGTGGCCTGAATATTGATTTGAATTGAGGCCAAGTCTAGTTAACAGCATGCGCACGTATACCATGAACTTGGACGTAGTGAGTGTGCACCCGTGTAATTCAAGAAGTGGTTGGTTAGGTTGCTTATTGAAGGTGCTGAAGTATTTGTCTGACACCTGAACGGGACACCTCTTATTGTAGGTCGGGTAGAAGGATATGTTAACCGGTTGTCTCATTTGGTTTGTTTTGGTATGATATAGGGACAGGATGTAATGATCCTCAATATATATTTTTAATAGTTAGGTAGTCGGTATCAGCTTGATAGAGGTGAATTCTCTTGGTCTTAGGAAGCCGTAGAAAGCTAGGTATATGGTTGTTTTGATGACCATTTCGTAATTGGTTTGAATGGAAAGGTATTCAATAAATTGGATAAGGACTGGAATAGTTTGCCTTGGATGAGTAGTCTGGTAATATAGGGTCTGCTTTCTGAATGCCTTTCAGTAAGGTTTTAATTTGGTAGAAGGAAAAAAACCTGTTTTATTAGGGTGTAATACTAGCATGTGATGTTGAATAACGTATCTAATCCATGAACATGTCTCGAAATAGGGGAATAGGAGAAGGCAGCCAGGAAGCTGTGCGCAGAGTCTCGTAGAATGCCTGTAAGCGGAAACAAGACAGGTGGTCAGGGGCCCGGGAACGTGCATACAGGTGATGAAAAACTGGTAATTAGCTGCCACCCACATGAGTTTCCTCAAAAACCTCATGACCGTCAGTGACGATGATCGCCCTTTGTTAACAATGTGGCAGGTAGCTAGATTGTCAGTGAAGCATCTGACTGAGTGACCTGACCATTCCGGACCCCAGGTAATGGATGCCGCCACTATGGGATACAGTTCAAACAAGGCTGAAATCTTAGAGAGCCCGGGTAGGCCTATGACTTCGACAGGCCAAGGACCCCAGAGCCAATTGTTACCACAGATGGCTGCAAACCCAGTGTTCGCTGCCGCATCTGTCCAGATTGTCAGGGAGCTGTCAGATATCAGTGGGGGAAACATTGCTTTCCCGTTCCAATTAAGTAAAAAGGTGCGCCACATAAGTAAGTCGGCCATTGCGTGAGGGTCCAAAGTGATACGTGTATTGTCTGAGTGAAGGCCAGGAAACAAACAAAGGAGACGTGATATGAAAGACCTGCCTTGTGGAATAATCCTCATGGCAAAATTGAGTGAGCCCAGCAAAGACTGTAGTTCGTACCTGTTGCAAGAACCCAGTCGCAAGTATAAGTCAACACTAGACATGATTCGCTGAATTTTATCACGAGGAAGACAGGACTGCATCCTAACTGAGACCAGTTGAATCCCCAGGAAATCGGGGCCTTCTGTCTTTTTAGGGGAGACAGATATACCCAGAGATTCAAAAAGGCCGATGATGGTCAGGAGACTGCGTGGGGGTAGAGAGTTGTCTTCGACTGTAAGGAAATCGTCTAAGTAATGAATAACAGTTGGGCATCTGCACACATTAAGTAGCAGCCAGCATAGTGTCTCAGCAAAAATGTAATGGAACCGACAGTAAGCCTGGCGAAGAAATAGTATAAACCTTGCTCCTTGATGCAATACAATACAAATACAATGTCCCGCCCCAGTTTATCCTTCAATTTCCTAGTCATTTTCGGGGGTGCAAAGGGAATTGATTGGCCCTGCGAAACGTCAGCCGAATTAGGGCACAAATTCGTGGAGTGCGAAGTGGATGTTCATACCAAACAAACCGGTGTGCTGAGGCCCACAGAGTGCCTGCAGAATAGCTTGGTGTCCAACCTACACCAATCCATACTGAAGTTTAACTGAGCCAGAGCTGCAGCGACTTTTGCGGAAAGGAACGGTGGTAGTCATAGAAAGCAGTACCACCGTATTTGTACCCCAGATCCACCAGCTTGTACATGTACACATCTAGTTCTTCCCTTTTATCGTGATAAGTGGAACAATAAACATCCCTATATATGCCAAAGGCCAAGACAAATTCAGGTAAGGATAATTTCTTATTCAGCCTTGTAATAACTGGCTGTGT